AGTACTTTGTACGGTATCTTTGACGTACTGCATCTCCCACTGATTTCTGGTTCTTATACCTCCTGGAATTTAAAGAGATGGGTTAGATCATCCCCTTCCTATAAATTATGTTGTTAATGACACTGTCCCTCAGTACATACATAGTTAAGAGGGAGTCACACTTCTCCTGCAATGATTGTGTCAGACTCTCTGTCTTCAGGAGATTCAGCACAGCATCACTTAGCACTTAGTAATATTTGAAAGATTTTCCTCAAAACTATAAGAGCTAATTATTTTAAAATTAGGTTTAAATTATGTCGATGCTAATGAATTTCATGGGACTTGGGGAGGCTGCTGACTCCCCATTTTTAATTGCTCCTTGAATGTCCACAGCATGAGGGCAAAGCAGTGTAAGTTATTGTAGGTTTTCTCTGCAGTGTTTTAGAAAAAAAACTACGATAACTGAACAGAACCACCCCAAGCTATTTGTGATGGAGAAACAATTTGGTAAGGAGCATCTGCTCCCTTCTACCCTTTCAAATGGGCAGAATCCCACAGGGTACCCGCCAACATACTGAGACTTTTGCAGGACTGGGAACAAGGAAGGAGTGTCCTCTGGAGATGCATTTGTCTCGTGTGCCAGCTTTTACTAGACGGCATGGGTATGTCTAGACCACAAGGTTTGTTGACAAAAATGGACTTTTGTCAACAAAACTACACCTGCGTCCACACTGCCACTGAGTTATGTCAACATAACATCAATATAACTCGGTAGCTATGTCAACTGTGGCAAACCTCATTCCACGAGGAATAACACCTCCGTCAACATAGTTATGTTGACAGAAGGGAAGTGTGGACGCAGGGCAGAAGTTATGTTGACAGTAAAGGCCTCCAGGAAGAAGCCCTAGTGGACACTCCTGCCACTGCTTCCAACTCTATTGTTTCTGCCCATAGCCATCTTTAAAAGGCACAGGCACCCAGGATCAGCACTCTGGCAGCAAGTCAGCTCCAGAGTGGACCTGGACTGCGCAGCTCTTGTGTGGTTAGTCAAGTGGAGCCATGTCCCATGGAGAAGCCCCTCAAGATCCCCTTTGCCTCTCCAGGGACACATCCCCCCAGGAAGCCAGGGACACCAAACGGTGGGCACCCTCCTGGTCAGGGCCGGAGATAAAAGCCCTCCTGGGTCTCTAGGCTGAGGGGGAGTCCCTCCAGGCCATGCAGTCCAACAGGAGGAGGAATGTGGACACATATGCCAGAATGGCAGAAGGCCTGGCCAAACAAGGTCACCGCCCCTGCACACTGGAGCAGGTCAGGGCAAAGGTTAAGGAGCTGCGGCAGGGGTATGTGAGAGCCCATGAGCGCAGCTCCTGCTCCGGAGAGGCACTGCATGCCTGCGTGTACTATAAGAAGCTGGACAGGATCCTGGATCCAGGGGAACCCCTGCCTCCTGAGAGGCTCGTGGAATCCGGGCTGGAGACCCCCATGCTACAGTGGCTGCAACACCTGCTGGGGGACCAGGAGCTCCAGTAGGAGGAAGAAGAGGAGGAGGACAGCACAGAGCACCCAGGAGACCAAGGCACCCAGACACAGGAGGCCTTCCAGACCACCTCGGACTCCGGTGAGGGAACATCAGGTGAGTGCTATGAGGATCCAACACACACAGGGCAGGGCAGGTGGGAGCAAAGGGGACGGTGCAGTACTGTGACATGCCATGCTGATCACGGCCCGGGGGGAAAGGGGAGGCACACCCATGGCCACCCTCAGGGAGGGCCGTACTACCCCCTTGCACCCGCACAGCTGCTAGGCACCGCCTGTTCCTGCAGGCAGGGATGCCACATGCAGCCATGGGCTGGAGATGCTGGGATTGCCGCACTACCACAGGCCTCTCAGCACTCTGAGGGAGCCCCAACCGTGGCCCAACACTCATCTGTGCTGCTCGGCCATGGGGGATGCATGAAGCAGGGCATGACAGTGGCCTGCACATCTCCCTGGGCTCCAGGGAGGCTGTGGCTGCGGGCCAGGCCACACCATGTCTTACTGAGACACACATGAGCAGCTTCTGGCCCTAGGACTGGCACCACCTGCTGAGAGGAAGGAGGGCATGCCCTCTCAGAGAAAGTGTGAGCATGAATGACTGATGACTCTTCCCTCTCGTCCTCCACAGCTGGACCAGCTCTCCGGGAGGAGGGCACAACACCTGCCCCACCACTCAGACAGCTGCAGGGAACCCGTCGGCACTGGCGCACCTACCTATACCTGGTGCACCAGCACATCACAGTCCTGATGGACAGGAGGATGGAGGCAGAGGCCAAGTGGTCCCAGTAGTTGCTGCAGGAATTTGCCCAGCAGCACACAGACATATGTACTGTGATCCGGGAGGCCATGGCCGTCCCTGGTCCTGTGCCTGGTCCTGCCAATGCCCCTGCCCCCGCCTCAGCTCCTGCCATCCCAGACCCAGGTACGGCCCTACCTCCTGTCCTGCCCCCTCCTGTCGCTGCCCGCACATGCCATCGGGTGCGAGAAGGCCTCCACAGCCAAAGTGGCAGGGGCTCCTCCTCTGGGCAGCCCCCTCAGCCCTGAGCTTCCCCACCCCGGCCAGGTTGACAGTCCCCCTTCCCACCAATGACACTAACAGAGGGGAGCACTTTATTTTGTTTACATACACTTCATTTTCTCTGAATGAAAGAGTTGTTTTATTTATACTGCACAAAAGAGTTTTTATTTTCTCTGAACACAAGAGTTTCTCATTTTAGTTTTTCAAAAAGCAACAGTGCGTTAAACTGTCCACGTGTTTTCACCAACACCTGTCTCTGTTCTCAGTGTGTGATGAATGGGTCGAACGAGTGAATTTGGGGCCGGGAGGAGTTGCAGGGAGGAAGGCACCGGGGGTATGGGACGCTCCCACATGTGGAAGGCCCTGGGGACAATCAGGGGCTTCCCTGTGGGTATGTCTACACTGCCACCCTAGTTGAACTAGGGTGACTAATGTAGGCATTCGAAGTTGCAAATGAAGCCCGGGATTTAAATATCCCGGGCTTCATTTGCATCTTGCCGGGCGCTGCCATTTTTAAACCCCATTAGTGCGGACTCCGTGCCCGCGGCTACACGCGGCACGGAGTAGGTAGTTCGAATTAGGCTCTCTAACTTGAACTACCATTACTCCTCGTGGAACCAAAGCAAAAAATGCAGCAGCCTTGCTTTCCCTCTGGGAAGTAGGCAAGCTAGAAGCAGGAACAGAGCAACGGCTGTCCAGGAGAATCCCTGTAAGCACGCGTCTCTGCAGAGAGCATGCAGCAGTGCCTGGGCTTAAAGGCTGTCCCTGTGACCTTCCAAAAGCACTTCTGGGTGCCTTCTTTTGTCGACAGAGTGTCCAGCAGTCTGGACGCTCTTTGTCGACAAAGCTGATCACTTTGTCGACAAAGCGATGTATTCTGGACACTCTTTTTTGACAGAAGTTTTGTCAACAGAATCTGTCGACAAAACTTCTATCGACGGAAGCCTGTAGTCTAGATGTACCCCATGAGGGTAGACTCTCCTTGCATGGAGGCAGAGAGGAGCAAGAGGGGTTTGTTTAATAATGACCTGCAGTGGGTAAAATTCTCTACTATGCACAGGGCCAGTGCAAGACTGATACACCAATCAATTCCCACTAGTGTCCTCATAATAGTAATTAAGTGATACTGAGCTCTCGCCAGGCCCACCAATGGCAATTCTGGACCCCACAGAGTAAAGAAATCAATGTGCCCCCTATCATCCTCCCTCATATGGGGCCACAAGCCCTCCTCCCTGAAGAAGCACAAACTCATTCCTCTGCCGGAAAAGCCCTAGGCCAGCCCAGCTCCGGCCCCACCTGCAGCTCCACTTCTTCTCTCCTCCCTTCCCCAGACCAACCTGCCTGTAGGAAGAAAGCTGAAGCAATGTCTCTTGAATCAAAGATGCTTTGATATGCTCTATGAAGGTTCCAGGCCTAGTACCCCACCTCAGAACCTGCCTGGGGCATAATCAAATGTATCTTTCAATCAAGAGACACGTTCACTTTTGACAGAGCAGACAGAGCTACCGCAGCTGAGGCCAGGGCTCCAGGTCCTTTTATATTGCCTGGGCTACTCAGCAATTGCCCCTCTCGTTCCCCTCCCCACATCAGTGATCCTGGGTGTTGCACTGGCCTTACATCACATGGGTGAATCTCACCCAATAAGTAAAACTTAAAAATAAAAAAGGTAATCACACTTCAATAGGAGATCATAGAAGAATGCCTTAATTGTAAATTTTGGAATATTAAAAGTTGCAACAGTGTTTTATTTTTCATCTTTGCACATACAAATGTCTCTTTCTAGCACAGTTTGGACAAGGCTAAAACGTTAGTCACCCAACAAAAAGGGTGTGATTTTGCAGCTTCTCATCAGTTCCAATGACTTCAGCAAAGTTACTCACAGAGATTGTAGAATCAAGTCCACACAATACTCAGGAAAAAATAAAGTAAACAGAAGTCATCAGAACTCATTTCCATACCTGTCCTGCATTGTGTATAGCAAGCACTATAAATCATATTCCGGCCACATGCTATTAATTTTATGTTCTTTCCTTGTCATCCTCTGCTTTGTACCCTTCATAATTCTTAGATTTGATTTTTAAGGTCACTGATAATTTCATGTGGAATACCTTGTGCTTAATATTGATATAGCATTCAACAATAATATATCAGCCAAATTTTAATGACAAAGAATCCAGGATCATCTTTTTTACAAAAACACAATTAAAATTCACCATTGTTAAGTGTCAAAGGAGAGCTCACCAAATGGCTCCGGCATGAGTCAATTTTGAATTAAGGAGAACGAGGGAATAAAATGGGTTCATTTGCAGCTTTTCCTAAGAGAATCATCTTCGTTTTTCTGGCATACAGGGGGCAGCAATTTTTAATCCTGTTGATTAGCCCTAAAAGATAACCCCATGGAATATGCCTATGTTTGAGGATATGGTACATGCTAATACAGAATACAAACATTTTTTATAATTTTCAGGATAACTCTTCTTCCAGATGGGAGCCTACAAATACTGAATGCTTCCAAATCTGATGAAGGAAAGTACTTATGCCAAGGAGAAAATGTATTTGGCTCCGCCGAAACGATAGCATCAGTATTTGTTAAAGGTATGGAAAAGCACACTGATCATTAATTAATTAATATTTTATCAATTATTGATTATGCATATAGTATTTGTACACTATTATCCCAGACTGGATCAAGAATCCACTGTGCTAAGCACTGCACAGACACAGAACAAAAAGACAGTACCTCTCCCCAAAAAGTTTACAAAAGATTGTGCCAACAATTTATTTCCCCTGTTGAATACATGCTTCTAATGTTTTAAGATACATGTCAGGAAAAAACTAGTATATAAATTAATTTTATCCAGATTATCAAGTTAATTCAGTATGGTAAAGAAGAGAGAGAAAAATAAGGAGGTACAGGCAGTCCCCGAGTTACGCGGATCCGACTTATGTGGGATACGCAGTTACGAACGGGGCCCTTCCTCTCCCTGGTCTCCAGCAGACCAGGGAGAGGAAGCAAAGCGGCAGAACACGCGGGCAGCAGCTGGGCTGTCCGCTGCCCGCGTGCTCCGCAGCTTTGCTCTGCTTTGCTCCCTGTCCCCCTGGTCTGCAGGGGGACGGGGAGCAAAGCAGAGCAAAGCTGTGGAGCACGCGGGCGGCTGACAGCCCAGACGCGTCTGGGCTGTCCGCTGCCCGCGTG